AGGGTAGAATGACGAACAGTCGTCCTTCAGTCTTCACCGTCAAGCACAATTCGCAGCAAGATTAACGGCACCTCGCAGTATTCATCGGGCACTTCCAACTCCTGCGATCCGTCGCAGGTTTCGCGCAAATCGCGAAAATCGCTCAAATCGCGCAAATCGCGAAAGTCAGCGAGCCTGCGACGGATCGCTGACCCTGACACCAGCCTAACTTTGTGCGTCATGTGGCTGCGGTATTAGGGAGATGCTCTTCTTTCTACGTTAAGGTAACGCATAAAGACAACATCCGAAAGGGCGACATGCCTACCTGCTGATAGCTCATAGAATTGGGCGGAGGCTGATTGGGTGAGTAATAATGCGACATCGGCTGCTGCATTTGATGAGGGTGAAGCTGCTGGTGGGATTGAACCACATCGCCCTCGTAGGCCGACGGAATCGGTGGGCGTTGAAGCGCCATCGTTCCACCACCTCCTCCCATGCCTGGAAGAATGATTCCACTCGAAGAAAAGAGAACATAGGCAACTTTATGGCTGGTATCAAGAGGTGTCAAAGCTCCCGCCAAATTTTTCATTCACTAATGAAGCACGACTTTCTTTATTTACCGGCAGTAGACTTACCATAATATCCCATATGAGAATAACTGCCACCAGCAGATGGATTTCCTTGATGATTAGATACTGAACTTGGTGGGTGCATCATTCGTGATGGGTTAGAATCATCGTATCGCATTTGATGGTTCTGGATTGCTCATCATAGGTTGGCCCTTAAAATGGTACTTCACATGATTCAAGATTGCAGCAGATGATTTAAACAAATTATTCAAGCAAACAATCCAATGGAGGTCAGAAAATTCGGCATTCGTTCCATTACAATGTGATGAATGGAAAAACTAATAGTGTCATGCTGGGAATGTGTTGTAAATTCATTGAAGGGAAAACAAAAAAAAACGAATTCGTAATAAAAGGGTCGAGCAGGAAGGATCTGACGACCGCGCCAAGCTTTCTATTTGGGCAGGTCAAATCTAACCAGTAACATTCAGTCTGAGGGGGTAAAGTGGTGAATTGGTTAGATCGAATACGTCGAACGCATGTATATTCCGAAAACACTGGTCGACTCCTGGTATTCTCCCATCCATCGTCCACACTTAAAAACGCTTCAAAATAAGAACCAAAAAATGAAACTATGTAAATGAGGGAGGGATTACTGCGAGATAAGTTTAGGAACAGTTACTAAAACCGTGCAGTTGGGACAGAGCTGGACGCTTCAAGCAACGCGATAGCGAAGTTCAGATCACGTGAACCATGGAGAGCTCTATTGTTATCGATCCGAATATCGCATCGTTCCAAACTATCTACCCAAATATTTACAGAGTGAAGACAGGGGAAACAAAACAAAAAATATAAATAAAATGAGTCAGCAACTCAAGCACTAGTAAAATAGAAGAGAACACACCCGACTAAACATTATTGGCTCGCCACTCATCATGGAGGAGTCGTTTTCGTATCGCATACCGCGATGAAACGACGAAGGACCGTCATACGTGACCTGCAACTGGGACCATCTCTAAACTCGACAAAATAAAGTTTCAAGGCGAATCAATGAGAAAGAGAACTATTGTAGCAAAACGGCACCTTTTCCTTATCGAAGTTTCCATCACATTGCCCTGCAAATGCTACCGTTTAAAACACAGTAGGCGTATCAAGTGAAATTCCCAACATTACACAAAACCATACAGTAAACGTTTAAAATCGATCGCATGAACGTACCAAAAACGCCAGGACCTGACTGTTGATGTGGTCCCATTACAGCACCATCTTGTGGAAGGTACTGCGGCGGTGGATGAGCCTGGAGTAACATAGTTCTGTCATATTTAATAGTTCAGAATAGCTACAACTAAACGTTTGAGCAAATCTGTCTGAATTTGGCAATTACTGACAAGCCCAACATCGTTTGCCCAAAAGGGAATTGCCTACCAGGATCTCAACTCGACCCGTGAATATAAACCAAAATGGTACTAATATCCGTTCCAAATTCCATTTTCTGGCATACTATAACGAAGGCGGTTGCACTCCTGGATAACAAAGCCGAAGACAAAGCGAAGTGCCAGAGGACCAAAAAATTCCACCGCAACAGTGAAGAAATGAGCCACGTTGAGAGCTATTAGCCCGAAATTCTCAGAAAGTTATCTTCCACTGAATACATGCGACAGATCAATACTATATTTAACATCTTAAAAGGAACACTGCGATAAAAGCACTGAAAAATTTCCATAAAGAAAGGCAGAGAAGCCGAATCCCTCCAAAGTCAGCGATGCTCGGGTCAGGCAGTAGTCAAGCCCCCCGTCCATGTTGGCGAACCGTGTTCGCAGTTCGATGTGTGTAGTAGTTACCTATCGATCGATTGCCGGCGAGTTTTTGGTGATATGCATCCTACTGCAGTTTGGCCGCGAGCACGCACCTACACACAAAGCTCAACAGATTTGTACTGGGATTTCCGGTCGCTCGCGTGACATCAGCAGATGTTTAAAAGCCTTCAGATTACACAGCCAAATTTGTGCAGGGCATGGTGATGAGCAAACAGAAGCAAAGCAGGAATTCCTAACCAAGACTAATAGTACTGAGTATTGCAGGGGTATGGATATACAAGGAGGTTTGAAAAGGAGGAAACACACTGCATCCCAAACCCAACAACTCGTACTATAAGATAGAAGTACTACAGTTCTAGGATTGGAGTTCCAAAAGTAACGAAGTTGCAGAAGTTGTATGGGTACGTGTGGAATAAATAAAAGCATAATAACAACAGGATGGCTTTCACAAGTAAAACTGCCTCTCACATTCTATAAGCTAGTGTTTTTTCACTCGGGAAATCGTAACATAAAGCTAACATTCGGTCAACAAAATTTCGCAACGCTTCTTCCCATGATTCAAAGTCCTGATGAATAAGCCCTTATTGTCTAAACATTGAAAAGTAGACAGTTCCACACTCCGTCCGATATCTGGGACGATTAACCATGGTAACTTAGAACTTGGGCTACCTGGAGGAATTCCAATTTCACAGATCTTTCATGTTCAACTCTCACAATAGACGGACAGTTGCAGTAGAAAGCACGGTTGATGTTGCCTGCCGCAAGGTCACCTAATCAACTGCTGTCGTCGCATAGAGGACCATGAACTATTGGGACTGAAGTTGAGAGGAAAAGGAATCGCAGAACACATGAGCCACAACTTCAATTACCCAAGAATATGCACTTGAGTTATAAGAACACAACGTCTCAAAACATGTTGAAATGAGAATTTATGAAGACTGCGGTCAAAGGAAGCAGCCCGCCACTAAACATAAAACAAGTAAAGTCAAAGTTCTGATTTCAAACCTTCAAATTGTCACAATCCTTCGTCTCAAGAAATAAAGAAGAAGAGATGCCAACAAAAAGTGAGAAAACTCACGAATCCTGGTGGGGGAACACGACGTTCCTGATGTCTCATTTGGTCATCAGCGCCCAACCCAGAGTCCGGGGTCGTTCTAAACAGATGGTAAAACACTTGGTAAGATCATGTATCACTAACGAATATCATCAATCTTTTAGAATGAATATGAGTAAATGAAACACAGTCAAAACTACAACTATATGATCATCGGCAACTGCTAACAACATAAATGAAACAATTAGAACAGAGAGTCTAAAATGGCTTTGAAAGATGGGGAATAGGAACACACAAAAGCATGCTGAATAAAGTAGCAAACACGAGCTACCGAGTGGTTGTTGGCTGTGAGGGTAGTACGGCTCCATAATCGAGTTGAGGTTGACCTCCTGGACGAACCAAAGGCGTCCCGGACATCGCCTTAAGTAGATGACTTTCGAAAAAGACGCAATTTTCACAGATGCGTACTCATATCGAACGAAAACAAATAAATAACAAACAAATATAAACGGAAGTACTCCAACTAATAGAACTTCGAATTGACTTTCATGCAAGCTACCAAGAAGTGGCAAAAAAAGCAGAATTCAGATTGCTCTTGGACTCTGAAATCCCACTTAGCTTGACTAATTTGCGCATAATTGACCAAACTCAACTTCAGAGAGACTGTGCCTGCCTCTAAAATAAGCAAGAGACAGCTGAAGCTGATCTAATAAGCTCAATCAAAACCCAGGCAGTCGTGAAAATATCGCCCATACCTAGACTCTTCACAATAACATAATGCAAAAATAACTCCTTTAGTAGGCAAAACTTACTGTAAATCAACGACTGAGCTGCAAAGTATAAATGGGAATAGTAGAAAGAAATCTGAATAAATTTGAAAATGACGCTCCAGTGATGGATATAATTAAACTCTTGAAACTGTCTAAAAAACTCTCTAAACATTTCGATTTCATTCGATTGTGCGCAGCAGTAACATGATAAAGAATCAGAGATATTAAACGAATGGCCTTGACTCGCAGCTATTTCCACATTGGCAACGACAGTTGGTGAACATCTCCTTTACAAAGTTACCCAGTCATACCTTGGGAAATATTTCACAAGCTATCAGCTTTTTTTAAAGATCACGAGGAATTTTCTCTCCTACTCCGCTCCAACGTTGAACGCCTTAACGCCTTTAACGGGGTATTCTGTGGAACACTTTTATGCACACCTTACCGCTCTGAAAACAAAAAAAGGCAAAACTGACTAGTTACTTAAAACACAAGAATTGGGGAAAACCTCGAAGTTTGCCCCTATTACTGAAGCTAATTAATTGTTAGTAGTATTACTGAAGCTCATTAGTCGTTAGAAGGGGAAAGAAAAAGAGAAAAAAATCATAAGTTCATAAATATTTTTGGGCTTACACAACTCACTGTACAAGCGTGCAAACAACTTGTACTTTGAAGCAGAGCGCTTTGCAAATCGGCAGTCAAGAAATCGACTCATTACTTTTATGGCAGTGGAGACATAACGAACAGTCTGTTCCACAAATTATTCGCTAGAAATAGTTGCATTGCTTGGAAAACGTTGAAGCGCCACAAAATCAAACCCGCGGATGGTAAACCGTATAACATTTGATTTTGCTAGCTCGGAACGAGTAATTCAGAAAATAGACTGCAGATTACATTGAGAAAGAACTTCATTTCGAAGATGCCGTTTTGAAATGATCTGCAGAAATTTTAGAGAAAAGCTATTGAAGATGTCAAAACGACCGAAACTTTCCTATCCTTCTTAACTTTACGCAGGGAAATGCCCTTCATATCTTTACTCTTGAGATAACAGGACTATTGACGACACCGAATAAGCGGAAGAATACTTACAGACACATCAAGACTCAATAGGATATTACTGCTTGTTATTGCTGCGGAAAATAGCCCTAAAATTTCCCTACATTTCCAAAAAGCTAATGAAAGTAAAAGACCAAATCACGAAGCAAAGGAACAGAAGACTAGATTGAAAAGTTCGCTGGTGCAGCAAATAAACCAAAAGTTGTCAATATAGCACGGGGGAGGGATATCGGCCAATATCGAGCGCGAAACGCCCGCATCGATCGCCTGACGAATAGAGAGCGGTCATTGCAAGCGTCGACGTTCGTCCGACGGCGACGCGACGGCGACGACGTCAACGGCCTTCTGAAGCTTGGAAGCACTCCAGAAGCGGTCTCCACTGACTCGCGCCTTCCGTGCCCGCCGTCGACGGTCTCGAAGATTGGAAGCATCAGAGCGTCTCTGAGTTCATCAATGATCTATTGACTTGACGAGTTCATCTGAAGTATATGCGAGGTCTTAAGCTGAGTACAATGAGGCAATGAGCCAACAGACACTTAGGAATTTCAATCTTCCTTTTCAAACGTGTATGAACCTCTTTTCGGAGGAGATATTTGGCCTACTAGTAGGTTCCATTCCGAAGGAGTTTTAAGTTTTTTAAACTACCTTTTGGCCCACCCAGCATTCAACGTTAAAACCAGACAATTATGGTTCGTTGTTCTGAATCTTCGCCTAAGAGAGCGCGTCAAATGAAAGAGTTGAAATTATGGCGCTAAACTTACCAAATAAGCGCAACTCCCAAAATTGGTGGGTGGATGATCGTGATCGTTCGCGCGGCAGTCGCTCGGTGAACGAGTTGCTCCGCAGCACACAGTTCACGGGCGTACGCTGAAGCGTCGTAGGAAAAAACAGTGGCGAATTTCAAAATACGATCATTAAAGTTTTGATAAAAGCTTTAGTCTTCACTTGCTCTCTATTCTTTCTGTTTTCAAATAACTCGTAAGAGTGGTTCTTAGAGTGAGACTCTAGAATTCTTAATATGAGTGATTCTTTAACGAAGTAGGTTAACTCCCACATTCATTTGCTTGGCTTTAACCAGCAGCTATGTGGTTGCAGTGCAGTGCTAATTGACGGTCGAGATTACCTTTTTCATGGCTGCCTAAATTGCAGTAAGTGCAGCAATCTCAACTGGGGCACATTTAGCCATTTTTGCCTCGCAGTGGGAATGGTCAGCGACCATGGCCCTTAAAGTTTAAGTTCAGGGGCCGGGTGCAGCAAGCCCCAACTAGGGGATAGGGGATGGGTCCCCATCCCCTAGTTGGGGCTTGCTGCACCCGGCCCCAGAGCAGGGTTGTGAACACTGACCGTAGCTCACAGCTTGACGATTTCAGTGATTCCACTGAACTTTTCAGGATCCTTCTAATCATGCCTGTAGACTACCTTCAGTGGAACTGCCGGCGCTCGGGTGTGGTTCACTAGGACAGAAAGCGACTTTTTCGCGTTTCGCAGCGCGAAACATTTTCGCTGCGGGAACCTCAGGTCCACTGATGATCAGCGGTGGACCTGAGGTTCCCGCAGCGAAAATGTTTCGCGCTGCGAAACGCGAAAAGTCGCTTTCTGTCCTAGTGAACCACACCCCGGCGCTCATATCCTTAGGGAAGGGAGTCCTCTTTGCTGGGCTTAGTCCGCTTAGTCCTAGTCTTACACCCTGTCTTGAATGTCCCCTCCTCCCCCAAGGACATGAGCGCCGATTGCCATATCGCTGAACCTCTGATTCCTGAGCAGTTGGAGCTCCTACACAGTTTTTACCAATGTTAGGCATAACTGCTAGATTTTTCACTGATTCTGTGGCAGTTGTCATTTCGTACCTTGCCAAAGGCTAAATTGCTGGCCATCGTAAAATTAGTTCGAGCTCAAGCAAGGCAGGGACAGCTGGGCTTTATGAATACAATTGTTACTATCGGTTTTGGGTGCTAACGTAGTTGGGGGGACCACGCGGCGGCGCGGCACTGTGTTCATCTGTTCCTCCGAGGCATAGATTCTCGACACTGCACGAAAGTAATACAACTCGCCCTTGGACACTAGCCTGAGAAGCAAGGCGACCAGAGCGCCGCGCCGGCCGCGTGTCCCGCCCCCCCCCCCCCAATAGGTCGACGGACTACTTGAACTCAGCCCTTTAAACCTCCTCTGCGCTCTCTAGCGGGTCCCTCTCTCCTCTCCAAGGCTTAGTCCTAGGGCATTCTCTAATCGTCTGTGCTCTAGCCATCGCGGCAGGACCATTGAGGAAAAATCAAGTAGTCCGTAAACCCAGCCCTTCCACTAGCCACACCCGTTTTGGTACCTGAGGCTCACGAAAAGTACGTCGAAATCAATTCACATGGCATTACCATGTACACATATCCAGTTTTACTTCATATGTCTGTCTTAGAAATGGAGACAGCGGTGGAGTTTGAAGTGGGAGATGGTGAACTGCCAGAGAAAATAACAATCAACACTGCCCAAGTGTTGCTACTAGCCAAATTCGATAAGGCTAAATCTGACTCATATCATCTGGTGCGGAAGCTCAGTCGTCAAATGAATAGCTAAAACATATGCAAACCAGGAAGGGCAAGGCAGCAGCGTGCGTTTGTTTATACTCTTTGGCCTGAAAGCGCCCGCCCCCAATTTTCCAGTCCGATTCGTCGCTCATTTGAGTACTTACTGAAATAAACTCATCCAAGTACTGAAATTAGAACTGACTTCAATTGACTTTCTATGTTCTCCTGGCTGTCTTTCATGCATTTTCCGTACATTTAAATTTTGCCAGTATAATAAGTGCCACCAAAATCTTTCGCTCCATTCGAACCTGCTTCTAAAAGTCCAAACTTGTGCTAGTCATTCGAAGGGCATTCAGGAAGTGTATAAGTGCCTGCTCATTGGTCATATCATCCTGTTTTTGCACTTGAATTTTTTCTCCCAAGTGTGCACGAGAACATTCCTAAGATATCACGGGGCCTGGATCCATGTAAGGCCGATGTCATAGTTTGCGAGTCGAGAGTTACGCCAGCTGGGGAAGTGAATACACGTCGCATCGAAACCGTCGGCATCGAACACCCCAGCCACTTTCAAACAAGTGCGAGTCGTCATGAGACATCGGTTCGGTCCGCTGTACATGTTCGATACGCCTGCTCAACGCCTAGATCCCACAGGATTCGCTCCACGCCGAAATCGTTCGATTCACAAGGTGTGACATCGCCTAACTCGATTACAGCAAAGACTTTCAAGCAAAATAAGCGACCTTATTCCGAACGCATTGCCCGCTTCTGGCACGGTCTGCCTTCGTAGTGGGGCGTCGATCGCAACGATCCTCCCGGTTCGCACAGCGTAGATACGTATTGATCGTCAGTCCTCGCTTCAACGATAACCATCCCAAAAAATTTGTTTTGTGCGACTTGTTAACGATCGGACCAACCGACTAGAACGCACCCTTACACGACGGGCAAGCTACATATTACGAAAAAAATTACCACACCAGAGAAGTGCGAGACTTTATTGCAGTCGTATGACTCATCCGCTAAATAGATCCTGTCAAACTCCATCTAACTTGATCCGAACCAAAGCTGCACGTTGCTCTTGAGACTTCAAAAATTTGACCCTGGGAGCCCACCTTTGCGAACGCTCAGTCGCTCCAATTTTTTTTATGAGAACTTCGAATCTATGTGCAAAATGACGAACCGTGGTACAATATGATGGGATCGATCTCTTATCTTGGGCTATCTTATGCTGCTGTTATAGTATGTTTCATTTACATCGAAAACGACATTATATTGCAGACCATTACATCCTCATATACCGATCGTCCATAAAAACACAATTAAAGGGAGATATAACATTTCGAATGAGGTGTTCATAGTTACACAAGTGTACTTCAATAGTTCAGTTTGTTTTACTTCATAAAGATTTGAGATTTGAAGGTCTAGAGAAAATTCGATAGTCTTCTGAAAGTAGAGCTTTTTCGATTACAAACTTACATATGTTCATACGAAATGTTATAAGTACCTCCATTTGATGGGTCAAATTTCATGTCGCCTCGATACCCGTCCTCTGAGCGAGACAAAGCAGGATCCTATTGACATCCTACTACCCCACCAACTCTCTTCGTGTGGATGATGACCCATACATCAATTTTGGGCGTAAAATCATGTGAATAGGCCTAAATAGCGCTGATACAAGGGGATTGTACTGATATGAAATCTGCGCAATGCACGGCTTATCCTGCTCAAAAATTAAGTGGGTATTGCGTGTGATACCAACAAAGCATTGTTGTTCGAGCTGGGAGTGTATTTTCGGAAGAGGAAGGGAAAGTAGGATTTACCAGGGTAGGCATTCAACTTCCCATGGAACTTTGAATTGAGACCCAGATATATCGATAGAGCTTCAAACGCTGATTACAAATATGGAAACTAAAACTGCAAAATGAACCTGCCAAGGAAGTTGTGAGCAGTCAAAGTTGGCTGAAGTAAAGCTTACATATGAACCGTGCTAGCCTTCGGGCTTTCAGAGCCGCCGTGGAGTAGTGGTAATGCTCTCGCTCTCCACCCGGTAGTCATAGTTCTCTTCCGTTCATGTGCAAAGTTCGAGATCACTACCACTACTCCACGGCGGTTTTGAATGCCGGACGCTAGCACGGTTTATATGTACGCTTCAATTCCAGCAACTTTGACTGCTCACAACTTTGGCAGGTTCATTTTGCAGTTTTAGTTTCCATATTTGTAATCAGCGTTTGAAGCTCTATCGATATATCTGGGTCTCAATTCAAAGTTCCATGGGAAGTTGAATGCCTTCCCTGGTTAGTGAAGAGATGTGGTTTCAGCGTAGGACGGGGACTCACCCATTAAAAGTTCCGTCCAACGCTATAGGTACCACAGAAGGAGAATGGTGTGAAATATTGAGCTAGGGTCATTAGGTTCTTTATGATTATTCTATATCTATATGCTTATTCCAGAGCATCTTCTTATGGAACTGCTAACTAAATCACCTCCTCGGGTCGTGCTGCCTTCCACGCCCTCGTCAAGCAAATCTAACGAAACTCCCTTCTCAAAAAGCAAAAAATCGTCGAAAGCTAAAAATTCTCACTCTGTAAGCTTCATCGCGTACTCGCATTTTCGTAGTTATTTCCTTGAAACGAAAATTCCAGGATAACAAGGCCAACCAATCAAACCTGGTAATGCGTGGGAATGAATACGCATCGCAGGCTAAACCGTGTCCACATTGTAACTGCAAACGGGTGCGTGTGGTTAATCCGGGACGGATAGACCGCCGGAATATCATGGAATGCACGAACAGAGATTGTCTAGCAACAATAAAATTCACTGACATTCCCGCCGGAACCCTTATCAACCCTGGAGGCCCGGTGAGTGTAGGTCACATTTTACCCTCTATCATTCTCTTTAAATACTGTGGCAAGCATATGATGGTTTCAGCCTGAAGAATTCACTTGGTATGACTTGAATGCTGAAGAGATTTTCTATCCCAGCGCCATAACCCTAAAAAGGCTAGAGGACAGGTAGGAAAAATTAGGTCCACGCAGCAGGTATCCAGGTAGATTTTCGTTCTTCAGCCTCAGGTCAAGCCCAAAGAAGCCCTTCATACCAAGGATACGTTACGATGATCAAGGAAACATTGTGGTGCGCTGTCCTGGTCAGAAAGAACTGGTGAAACTGAAGTGACTGTATCACTCGTACGAATGTGCATTCTTTATCAGTGTTACAAAACTGTCAAATTTTTTACTTCCTACTACTTGTTTTCTGTGAAACTACCATTCATTGCTCTCGCGCTATTGAGACCATTCGTTTGAAAGGCCTATCAGAGCTCAAAAAGTGCCAAGCAGTTCTGTAAATACGACAAAAACCCCGTCGTTCTTAAAAACAGCTTCTTTGTTTTGTCAGTTTATTCATTGAAGGCGATGTAGATAAGGCAAAAGGGTATTAAGATAACTCACATTCATGCGCCATAATTCTGTCTTAAGAAAAATGGCGAAGGTGGTGTGGTGATAGTGATGTCACTCTCTGTTGTGATAGTGGTATGATCACTTATCTATCGCACTTTTGTGTGTGGTCAGTGGGGTCAAATGGACTCCCCTTCTCGCCCCATGGCTGGAATCATAACTTTTTGTCTCTCTTTAAGTCGTGTAATTGTGTGCAACGGAGCGTACCATATTTTACGCCATTTAGAGAGCGAAGACTATTCGTGTTTGCTGGATGACGCCTTTGTCATGTCATTGTATTCAGTTCTCCGAGATCAGCTGATATGATTGTGACGACGCTTGCACTAAATCTTTGGAAGCCGTTTGTCGTCTACGCCTTTACATTTTATAGATCGGAGTTACCTCGGTGGCTATTCTTTTGGTATTAGTTGGCTATCATTTGGGGAAATGTCCAACCACCTTCTGTCTCACTTCCATATTATGCCCAAGTTTAGCCGTCTTCTTCATATTTCTTCTCATTCTCATTATTAGCCTTATGAAAACATTTATTTGGGACGCTTTCAGAAGTAACTTTACGCCTCAAGCATGTCAGAATGTAGGTCGAAATCTTCTTTTAATCTCTGTCTGAGTGCGAACTCAGGGAAAATTCTTTTTTTTTCTTTAGCGAGTCTCATCGTATATTGCAAATCCTCATCGATGAATTCTTTTTATTCGAGGTTCTCTGATTAATTCGTAATGTTAACGTTTGTTTTTATTTTTCTATAAGTCAGTGTCATAGATCGGGTTTTCGCTCAACCATTACCATTCCATTGTTTTCTTTTCCGTTGTCTCGGTTTTCCTCTTCCGTATTACCATTCATGTTGTCTTTCCGTTGTCTCTGGTTTTCTCTTCAGTCACCGGTTTCAATTTCACTTAAGAGGTATAATTGTAACATCTGTTGTATGTTTAGTGTGGGTGCACGTCGGCACTTTCTTACTGGTTTTTTTTTGCCGGCTTTTACATACATTCTCTGAAAAATAGCTCTATAAAACTTGTCATTGTATTTGATCACAGGAAATGGAGGTGGAGCAACGGGTACCAGAGTTGGAAGGCGTGGCTGTTCCCGACTTGCCACAGAAGAAGTTTTACCGGTGTGTTTCTTTTCCAGTTTATTAATTACAGTACTTCTATGCGTTCTATAATATATGAGGCCTTAAGTGTCCATCGGTTGTTTACTTCCCCTAGACACTAGTTTTACTCCTGGCGCAGCAATAATTATAAGAGCGATTAGAACGAGTCGGTCAAGTTAGGCTTGTTACTAGCAGGACGGCAGAATGAACGCAGTCTTGTGGCTCGGTTGTACTCATAAGATGACTTCAATCTAATCCCAATTTGGTTTATCCAACTTTAAGCTAACCTTCCCTAATCAGCCTTAATCCCGTCAAGTTAGAATCTTGGGTCCAGTGCAAACATCTCTCTCTCTTCTCGAAATACTACCCGAATAGTCTACGCACCGGTGCTTCACGCAAAATCTGAGGTCTTTCTGAATTACCGCTTTGTTTGACTATCGCGTTGTTGTCGCGTCTGGCGCGCAGAGTGTACTTTTGACACATCATTATTTTTCCCCGTTCTCCAGATAAGTCGTTATCGATAATCTTTCTGGTGTGGTCAGAGGCGCTCTTCTCAACATGTTCAGAGTGTACCTGTCGTAGAACGTTCAATACTCTAGTCGTACGTAATTGGCCATTTGTTCTTCTCAGCAATCACACCCACTAGGCCCAGTGGAATATTTTATTGTTTTTTTTGTTCTCTCATTTTCTACTCGTTTTATTTTAAGGCAGCGAGCTCATTCAAATCCGCACTCAGACCATGACATAGAATATCCAAGAACGCCAGCGGAGTTGGTACTTACTTGTTTTCGTAGTCTATTCGTACCAGGTGTAACAGCATTTTGATTTCATATTTGGTTGCAGCATGGACTGGTCAAAGTTGTACGGCGATTATGCCGAAGGTAGGCAAGTTGAGTTTGCGGACATCGGTTGTGGCTATGGAGGTCTTCTCATGAAGTTATCGCCCATGTTTCCTGAGACGCTCATGGTTGGGCTGGAAATACGCGTGAAGGTACGAGTATTTCTTGCGTTTCTTACGTCCAAATTCAGTCCTCCACGTTTTCTTTCATCAAAGAGTTAATGTTTGCTAAGAAAGGTCACTTTTTGTTAGAAATGTAGTATCTTTGCGATTTGCAGGTTTCTGACTTTGTATCGGAGAAAATCAAAGCCCTGAGAGTACGCCATGCAGACACGAATGGCTTTCGAAATGTGGCATGCCTGCGTTCTAACGCCATGAAGTATTTGCCAAATTATTTCAAGAAACATCAATTATCAAAGATGTTCTTCCTGTTTCCTGATCCGCATTTCAAGAATAAGAAGCATAAATGGCGAATTATAACTCCTGGATTGCTGGCGGAATATGCGTATGTGCTGCGGCCGGGAGGTATGTGTTCATTCCCTCTTAGATTTGTTGTTTTTCGCATAGATAACGAATATTTCTTCACAACAACATATTTGTTTGCTTTCTTCCTATGAAATTTTCACGGAAAATCAATTTTAAACCAGAGTAACTTTATTTTATTCGCAGATTAAGAGTCAGTAAAGTCAAAAAAGTCAAAAATTATTTTGTACACTAAATGTAAACCCATTTATTGCAGACGTCGTAGCTTTGGAGCTATTTAGCCGTTCTTTGCATTAGTTGTTTGTGTTTGGCGATGTCGATCCAGTGAGTGGTCGCGCGGACAGGGCACGGTTTTTTGTCGTGTTATATTGCGCTGTTCCAGAAAATCGATTCCAGGGACACCTCGCTCTATTAATTTTTTTTTTTTATTACACACGAAGGCGTTGACTATTCCTATATTGGAAGTATGGTAACGGCTTTGGAAAGTGCAGGCCGGTTTTGCTTTCTATGCGCCGCCCTCTCTTTCTCTCTTTCTCGTGCTGCGAAATGTGTTTGCCCTTCATCCCATGCGCTTGCGCTGTGGTTGTGCACCTCTCGCCTTTTCTCCCGACGAACCTTATCAGTTGACCAAGCTAGCTGTGTCTTTTTGCTGGGTTTTCTTCCGCACTCGTGTGTAGCAGTCACATGCATTTAAGAGTAGTAGTTAATTTCCTTTTTTTTAAGATTCCATTCAATGAAATTGAAGCGTTAAAGGTGACTGTTCATGCGGTATCAGTTCTGTGATTTTTATGTTCGACATAAACTTTTTATGTGACAAAAAGTAGGGAGTTAATATTTCTGCAGTCGAGGGGTTTTAAACTTCTAATACGTGGTTTTCATGAATTTTTAAATTTTTAATGATCTGTGTTCTTTTGAGAAATCCCTAATCAAATATCCTCAAATTTTGAATTTAAAATCTAGCAAGCTCTACACTTTATTCTTTGTTTAAATCAAAATACGAAGGTCTCAGGTGATCTCGAGAAGTGTGTTGTTTTTGCAGGGATTGTGTATACTATCACTGATGTGAAAGAACTGCACGAGTGGATGGTTCGCCATCTGAGCGAACATCCTTTGTTTGAACGGCTCTCAAAGGAAGAGGAAGACAGTGACCCAGTTGTACCTCTTTTATTTGAAAGGTATGCAATTAGTTATTCAATCTTCTTGAATTGATATTACAACCGGTCCGTGAGCCTGAAAATCCTCAGTTTGATATTACTGGACAGCGCCTCATCCCGTAGCGCTACCATCACCTTTGTTGATTGACCTGTGTTTGGGTTATGTTGAGCCGTCATTTCTTGAGGACTTTTGAATACAATTTTGATTGCTTCACTAATTGAATTTGCGTCTGTTTGTTCAGTTTTCTTTCCGATTTGGTACCATCGAAACGTGTTTTCAGCACTGAAGAAGGGCAGAAAGTATCGCGGAATGATGGCGAAAAGTATATGGCTGTGTTCAAGCGCAAACCGGACCCGAGTTGGTGATGGTGTTAATCTGAACGGCGCATTACATATCCCTTCTATGATTTCTATGTTGTAAACAATCACTATAGTAATTTATTCACTCGTTATACTTGTTACACATTGTTGTTATGCTGTTTTGAATTTTCATTTGTGGTAGACCTGCTAATAAAGGGCTTACTAAGAAGTATATCGTTTTCTGGGGTTAGCGCCCGCGTACCTTTAACCCTTAATTAATGAATGATGTCGGTTTAACTACATTTCTGTGAATAAATGCCGGCAAATTTTAGCATGGGCGAAGAAGAGTATGAGACCCTGCCCACGCATAGTGTTGGGGTAAGTCGTTGCAGTTCTTGCATACAATACTTTTAAATATTTATCAGTTCTTTTGCAGACATTTTTTGAGTTACTTGTGTTTTCATGGTGTGAGAGCTTTCAGGTTCACCTAGCCGCAGGTGCAGTGGCTGGCGCTGTGGAGCACTGTGTGATGTTCCCGTTTGACAGCGTCAAGACACGATTGCAAAGCTTGTGTCCCTGTCCAGAGACGAAGTGCCCTACACCTGTTCATTCTTTATGGAATATTGTGAGGAGGTACAGCTTTCAATTTTTGTTTTTCTGGTTGC